ATTCGCGAAGAAAAGCAAACGATTATTACATCTTTTTTTATAAAAAAGATAAGAATTTGTTATTGACTTAAGCGAGATCACAAGATTCAAGTGAAGAAATAAAATCACACGTTCTGTTTTTGTATATTAATTAAAAAAATATGTTTTTTTGCCACGTAGGCGCTGTTGTGGAGGTGACGTGTAAAGCGGGAGACAAAACGGTCAAAGCGTACGGAAAGACAAAGATCAACGGTAAATATGCAATCACCGTGGAAGGTTACAACTACCGCAAATACGGCGGCGAGGTTTGCACGGCCAAACTTCACGCGCCACCAAAGGGCTCACCGTGTAATATTCCGACAAGTTACCATTTGGGTAACAAAGGAGCTAAACTACATGTGAAATCAAAGACTAAGTACGAGGTTGTGCTTTATGCTAAGTCCTTTGCTTATGCACCTAAGAAGCCTTATGAGGAATGCCATAAACCAGCTCCTTACCACCCACCTTACTACTACAATTCTCCGCCACCTCCAACTCCGGTTTACTACTACAAGTCGCCGCCCCCACCAACCCCGACTTATGTTTACAAATCACCACCACCTCCAACTCCAACATACGTCTACAAATCTCCACCACCACCAACCCCGACTTATGTGTACAAATCACCACCGCCTCCAACCCCAACATATGTTTACAAATCACCACCACCAACTCACACTCCTTCACCGTATTATTACCACTCACCTCCACCACCAGTAAAGTCTCCACCACCTCCTTACTATTACCATTCTCCACCTCCACCGGTCAAATCTCTCCCACCACCATACTATTATCACTCTCCACCACCACCGGTGAAATCTCCACCACCTCCCTACTATTACCATTCTCCACCTCCACCAGTCAAATCTCCCCCACCACCGTACTACTATCACTCTCCACCACCACCGGTCAAATCTCCTCCACCACCGTATTACTACCACTCACCACCTTCACCGGTCAAATCTCCACCACCGCCTTATTACTACCATTCCCCACCACCACCGGCCAAATCCCCGCCACCACCGTATTATTACCATTCTCCACCTCCACCGGTCAAATCTCCACCACCGCCTTATTACTACCACTCTCCACCTCCTCCGGTGAAATCTCC